ATCTCAGCAGAGTTCTTCATGCTCACCTTTGAAGCCTGCATCATTTACATATATTTTTTTTTCTGTTTCTTCTTCAGTTCATGAGCTGGTGTTCCATTTTCTGTGTGTGTGTTTTTGTTTGGATTTTTTTTTTAATTTTACTTTTTGGAGCTTGCTGTGTTGCCCTTTTTTTCCAACTTCCACCTTCACTCCCTCTCCACCCATCTCTTCTGAGATAAAAGGAAAAAAGAGCTAAGTTTCTTTTTTTTCTCCTGAGTTCTTCATGTGAGATTGAGCTTGCAAAGGAAAAAAAAATGTGAAATGTTATAGACTTGCAGCGTGCTGAGTTCCATCGGGTTTTTTAGCATTGATATGCTAAAATAGAGGAAAAAAATCCTCATGAACCTGCCACAATCAAGCCTGCATCAACCTTCTGGGTGTGACTTGTGAGTTTTGGCCTTATGATGCCAAATCTGAGAGTTTAGTCTGCCATTAAAAAACTCATTCTCATCTCATGCATTATTATGCTTGCTACTTTGTCTTAGCAACAATGAACTATAACTGTTTCAAAGACTTTATGGAAAAGAGACATTATATTAATAAAAAAACCTGCATGCTGGACATGTATGGTATAATTATTTTTTCTTTTTTTTTTTCCTTTTGGCTTGGAAATGGACGTTCGAAGACTTATGGCATGGCATTCATACTTTTGTTTTATTGCTTCATGACTTTTTTGAGTTCAGAACGAAAAAGTGCAACCCTAGAGCCTTCTTCCCATGAAAGTTTGCATCTGCTCCAAAACTGCTTTGAGTTACTCAGAACTTCAGCCTCCCATTGTAAATGCACTGAAGGCATTCCCTGTCAAAGATGCCAGAATGGGTTAAAAATTTAACATGGCAAACATTAAAGAACTCTTAATGTTTTTGATAAGAATGACACCCCACTTTGGGGACTCAAATTGTGCTGTTGCCGAAAGCAGTCTAAAATTTATTTTTTAAAAAAAGAAACCTGCCCCGTTATTTTTGGTTTGTTTTATTTTTATTATTACTTTTTTTTTTTGGCTTTTGGTCATTGTCAAATGTGGAATGCTATGGGTTTCTAGTATATAATTTAATTCTAGTTTTTATAATCTGTTAGCCCAGTTAAAATGTATGCTACAGATAAAGGAATGTTATAGATAAATTTGAAAGTTAGGTCTGTTTAGCTGTAGATTTTTTAAAAGATTGATGCACTAAATTGTTTACTGTTGTGATGTTAAGGGGGGTAGAGTTTGCAAGGGGACTGTTTAAAAAGTAGCTTATACAGCATGTGCTTGCAACTTAAATATAAGTTGGGTATGTGTAGTCTTTGCTATACCACTGACTGTATTGAAAACCAAAGTATTAAAAGGGGAAACACCCCTGTTTATATCTGTAGGGGTATTTTACATTCAAAATGTATGTTTTTTTTTTCAAAATTAAAGTATTTGGGACTGAATTGCACTAAGATATAACCTGCAAGCATATAATACAAAAAAAATTGCAAAACTGTTTAGAACGCTAATAAAATTTATGCAGTTATAAAAATGGCATTACTGCACAGTTTTAAGATGATGCAGATTTTTTTACAGTTGTATTGTGGTGCAGAACTGGATTTTCTGTAACTTAAAAAAAATCCACAGTTTTAAAGGCAATAATCAGTAAATGTTATTTTCAGGGACTGACATCCTGTCTTTAAAAAAAAAATGAAAAGTAAATCTTACCACAATAAATATAAAAAAATCTTGTCAGTTTTCTTTTACATATTTTGCTGTGCAAAATTGTTTTATATCTTGAGTTACTAACTAACCATGCGTGATGTTCCTATGTGCTTTTCTTTCATTTTCAATTCTGGTTATATCAAGAGAAAGAATAATCTACAATAATAAACTGCATTTTTTTTTTGATTCTGTACTCAGTTTCTTAGTGTACAGTTTAACTGGGCCCAACACTGCATTAGAAGTGTAAAATGCATCCTTTTCTCTAGAGGAAGAATTAATGGCAGAGTAGGGAGGCAATAATTTAGGGTGAAACATAGGCTGTTTTGTGAGGCGGGAGGCTAGTCCCTTTTAATAATTAGGAATATTTAATATAAGTGTAAATTATGACCTCTCAAATTTTACATACCCCCCCTCCCCGCAAAGTTTACAGTTTTCAAATGAGTTGAGCTATCATTGCCCTCTGGTGAAAACAAACAAAATTCCCAGCCATAGAGCAGGGCCTTCTCAGCATTGCCCTGAGGTCTGATCCAGCAGTGTTCCCATCTAAAGGGAAATAAACCAGGAAAGTAAGGCATGGCAGAGGTGGCTTGGGCACATATGCATTTTATGGTAAAGATCAACAATCCTTGCTTTTTGGCTAAAATTGAGTACTTTTCCTCCTTCCCTGATACACCATGATTTTCTTGTTAGCAAGGCCTGACAAGATTTAACATCGACACTTTCGACAAATCAAAGTTGTTTGTTTTTTAACTTTGAAGGTCATTTAGTTGTCTTCAGTAGGAAAAAGCAGACTCCAACCCTCACTTACAGAACTCCAGGTACATATCTGGGTTTAAACGGTGTTATTAAATTGTATTTCCCTGTGAATATTTAGCGAAGGGCTTCTCCACTGAGACAAGCTGGTAATGATTTCAGATCACCTTTGCTCCTGAAATACACGCCCCAAAAAATAATGCCTTGGTGGGATAAAGGCTGTGCTTTGATTTATTGGTATCTACCCCCAAAACAGGCTGTGTATCTTTGGAAAGTCTTGAGCTACCTTAACTAACAGCACTGACCTATTTTAAAATGACACAAATTTCGTGCAACTCTTGGTCAACTTCCCTCAGAACGCTAATAGAATGTTAGACAAAGCCAACACTGATTTGAAAATAGAGCCAACCCGATGACTTTTGTTTTATTTTGTTTTCCTTTTTTTTAAGATAATATTGCAACTCTTCAATGAAGGCCATATTTTGAAGAAAACAGGTTGTGCTTGGTGCTGATGAGTTCTGGCCAGTTTATCATCTTCCTTCCCCTTTTCACAGACAGCACATACACTGTACATTTTGACCTTCCTCTCGGTGCCAGTTTAGATAGGGCTCCCGAATCCACACTCTTTTTGCTTCACAAAAGTCCTCATAGTAAACCTACTTCCATGTGCTGGATGTTAGCTGTTCTTCTCTGCTTCGAAGATTTTTTTTAGACTGACTAGGAGCTAGACAGTCTCCCCCTGAAGAAGCAGAAATGGAGATGTCACTTATGCAAAAAACTTGGCATCAGATGACAGATTTTAGGCAAACATATTCTCAAAATAAGAGTGACATTCCGAGTGGAGCTGCGACATGGGGGAATAATACGGTTGTGCGACAATTAAGCATTTTGATAGGACCCTACAAGGCAGTTCAATATAATAAGCAGGCTTTGGCCCCTAACATTAGAAAGCAACGAAGAGAGATGCTGACAAAAGTAGGGTTTTGGTGGCTGGCCTTAAAAGAAAAGCTTAATGCCTGGTGAAAGGCATTTTTAGAAATAAACGTTACTAAAAACTTTGAAGTATCATGTGAGTGGGAATACAAATACATGCTTTTTTTTAACAAATAAATCCTAAATCCTGCCTAAGTTACAAGCCTGCCCTTATGACAAATAAGTCTCTAAATTAAAAAAAAAATCATGTAAGGAAATCTAGCTTTCCCTTTACACTGCATTTGAGTCTTTGTTTAAATAGTGTTAAAATTCCTTTCATTCCAATTACAGAACTGAGCCCACTAGCAACTTGGAGCCATCAGTGGGATACGCCACATTTTGGAAGCCCCAGCAACGTGTGCTTACCAGTGTATTCACAAAGTGAAATTTATGTGAGAACTGTACATGAAAAATATATTGGTAGTAGTAGTAGTATCCGCTGTCGTAGAATACAACCTGCCCCCGGACTTCTGTTCAGTCTCCTTTTTAAAGAAAAATGTTGCATTAGAAAAAAAGGCTATTAAATATATGTATAATCTCCATATTAATTAACTGTGCCTCTTGTCTGAGTGTTCTCTGTACAGACCCGCAGGAAAGAGCACTGGTGCTTCTCGCTTTGTGGTGGGCGAAACTGAATAGGTGCGATTACTTTCAACCTGTAATATTGGTTTAAAAAATCCACTGAAATTTAAAAGATAGATAGACAGATAGACATTTATATGGGCAGAAATTTCCCAGAAGGTAACAGCATTTTTAAAGCATATGTAGACATACATATACACTCTAAATAGTACTTTTTCACGCTTCATTGTTTCTCTGGCAGATAATTTTACTAAGAAGAAAAAATACTTGACTCCCCCTCCCCAAGCAGATGCCATAGGCAGAAGCTTTATCAGAGCCTAGTACCCTGGCTTTCTCTTAGGGCCTAGATAGTGTTGTATTTATCAGTGATGTCAAACAGATTCATTTATCAGACACGGCCGTAAATGAAAACAACACGTGGCAAAATACAAAGTTAGTTAAATACACACCCTCCATGTGTGCTTTTTTTTTTGTCCCCTTTTCTGTTCCCAAGCATTCACAAAGTCACTTCCCTTTAATTTCCGTGCTCCTTGCATGTTTCCTTTTTTCGAAACCATGCAATAATTTTTTTTACAATGTATCTGACACATTAATAGATTGACATCAAATAGGCAGAGATTCCACTTCCTGATCTTGGTGAGGAAATGATGTCTCAATATCATATTTATTTGTCTCAATGTCATAACCACCTGGGCCCCTTTCAACATAGGCCGCTGCAGTGGGAAATACTCTATTTATTACTGAATCCATGATTCTAATGCTCTGATCTTTTCACCCTTACACCTTTACCCGGGTAGCTTTTATTTAGTAACGTCCATTCTGGAAACTCTGTTCTTAAGTAGGACCTCCCCTTGCCAAACCACCAGCTTCACTGCTAAACGCAGTGAACAGAAGGGCACATGGTAGCCACCCTCATAAACATGGGGCACAGCTGTCTCAGCAGTTACATTCCTAGCATTTCCCCATCTAAATAACTGAACTGGCTTCTGACACACACAGACGCTCCCAAGTACAGTATCTCGAGGAGGCTTTTGTTATTGTTGCTGTTGTTTTTAAGTCCAACTTACTTCCGTATTCACACATTCTTGGCTTTACAAAACGTACTCCTCTGGTATTCTAGGCCAATCAATAAATTTAAAAGTCTGCTTGCCACACGAGTATCTCTATTTTTTTTTTTTTTTTGCCTGTCAGTAGTTAAAAGACTAACTGACATAGGTCGGAAGACGAAAACACAGGAGTGACAACCTTCAGCCGTCTAATTTCCGTGTCAGTAAAACACACAGCCAAGCTCTGGGGCCTTCCTTCTCATAGAAACGTGTGATAAGAGGGGCTAGGAAGCCAGATTTACCAGCTTGAGATTGCTGATTTGCAAGGCGACTTTTCTTTCACTTTATTTTTTTTTGAAACAATAGTTTTGCCCCTTTCTTTGAAGTCTCCGATTTTTTTTAAATTTTTTTTTTTTTTTAGGGAAGCTGTAATTTGTACCACTTCTGATTATTCCTCAGGATGCTGAATGAATAATTTAGAGTCGGTGCCTTGTTGTTTTGAAGAAAATAAGAGAAACCTTGAAGTTTGTTTTTTTACTCTTGGCCCATCTTAATAGAGATCCCAAGTCTGAGGCAGGACACACAGTAACCCTCAGGGCGGTAGTCCCTGGTCCAACCATCAGAATAAACATTTGTTTGTTTGTTTTGCATTTGTTTAAAAACAGAGCAGGGGGCCTTAACCCACCTTCTGATAATACTGCTTTGGTCACTTCTGATATATGTCTTCAAAATCTAGACATCCAACAGCCCGGAAAAGGGGAATTCTCTCCAAGCCTTGCTCCGCCCCAGCTCCTGAACAAACCCAGCTCTGTCTTAACATTTTTTTTTCTCTAGCGGGGGTAGGGGACAGGGTGAGAGGATTTCAGTCTCCCAGCCTGTCTCATGATTGTCGAGGCATAAAGAAGTACAGTCCTGTAACAATGTGGGAACATCTTTACCCTTTAGAGAGGGACAAAACAAAAAACAAAGCCAGTCAAATTGCTGTGCATGAAGGCGGTGTAAAACCCCAGGCTCCCAGCTCCCGCACCATCTGTAGGAGGTGAGAAATGAGAGAAGCAAGAGGAAATGGTAAGGAGAACCTGGAAGGCAAGAGGCCCAGGAATAACCCCCGTTTGCCAGTCCGAATTTCACTTGCTCACTGGCTAAAGTCAGACCCTGCATACACACATGCCAGGTGCAAACAAGGTTTGGCTGCCCATGTCGATCAAATATGCTCACACTTTGTTTCCTTTTTGAAAACAATTGTAGAGATCAAACCCAAATTGAGAGATCTGGGAACATTGTCTTAACTTTGGGGTACTTATAAATTATATCAATCTTCGATTTCAGGGCAGTGACATTTGGGACCCGTCAGATATGTTATGCCAATATTTACGAGTATGTGGTCACCGCAATAGGTTTAATAGGCATCATGACTGTTTTTATTGTTTAAATGTGACAGCCCTTTGCTTTTGTGTTTTCTATAAGTTTGACCAATTTAACAAGGCTGAGATAGAAAGAACACATGAACTGCCCACAGAAGTCAGATCTTCATATGAATTTGCGTAAGAGTTGGGTAGTTTTAAGAAACTCACAAGACACATTTTCCACCGAGAGGCTAGGATTGGAACGCACAGTTCTTTACCCAAATCATAAGCATCTACCGAGTACCTCTTTCCTTGTTCAACAAAATTCATTTTCCTTTCTTTTTGTTATGTAGCATTTTTTTTCTATTATTAGGATTTTGGATTGCAAAATCACATCCCTCCCCTCACAGATTCTTGGATCTTTAGTTACGATTAGAAAGGGGCCTTAATTCAAGAAGGGAGGATGAGGGAAGGTTCTCTGTGGAAGTTTGGGAAGAGGAGGGGGAGGAGAGGAAATAGTTCTGGGTTCAGCCCCCACACCCCTCACCCCAGCTCAGCCACGGCCTGGGTGTGAGCTGCACACTGGGGATTTGGGTTGAGTTCCTCTATTGTAAATATTCTGATCACCAACCTTGAGTGTTTCCAAGCTAAGATTCCAAAGCGCAGCTTTTCCTTGTGTTTGGTTCTTTCGGTTAGAGGATAGGAGAGGTCAGGAAACTATAGAGCTGGGCAGGGAGGATTGAGAATAGCTATACGGAGAGATTCCCCAGCAAGGATGCTTGTGGAGCGGAAGCCTGGGCTGAGAAATCCGGTCAGTGGTGCGGATTCCCGTTTTACAACATGAATTTGCCCCTGGTTCTCTGTGGTGTCATCCCCTCTTAGAGGCCTGTAGAAGCGGGTTTCTGGCCTTCTTGGGGGTTCTCCAGAAGCAAAGCAGGCCTGAGGATCCTGGGACAATAGGCAATCCCAAACTAGGCCCAGAGAAGCAAACAGCAGGAAAAGGCTGATATGTATGCAAGGGACTGGGGGAGTATTATTAACAGAAGCCCCACCTTCCCTTATGACCCTCCAATTGCCTGGGGTCAACGTAGGTGGTTCCCAGGGCCCTACCTCCTGCCGGGAAGGATCTGTTTGCAGGGTGACTGACAAGCCCCCAAACAGGCTCTAAAATCCCATATTCCAAAAAACAATAGTAACGTCCTTCAGCCCCCAGGCTTCTGCCCCTTGCCACCTGACCCCTACCCCATCCCAGTGTCCTCTCTATAATGGTTGGCACATCTTCCTCCCACGCCTGCTCCACCAGGCAGATTCAGAAGGCAGTTACCTAAGCTGAGTCCTGGGACCCATTAAGTCACCTCTACCCCAGTTTCCCTGTAGACAAAGGCAGGATGGGGAGTAGGGCCTGGGGACTGTACTGGGAGAAGAGTTGGGAGGTGGCTGTGGCATGTTTAACGCTGGCTGGAGCTTCTGGTGCCAAGGGTCTTGATCAGCCTGAAATGAAGATGAAGACAGGGAGGATGCTCCCAGTTGCCATGCACCCCCACTTCTCCTCCCCACCCTCCACCCACACACACACTCTCCACCCCACCCCTGTCCCTGTATACACTTGTGCTACCGGGCCTATTCACCCTGGGCATCCCTGCCCCAGGCCTGGGGGGGCTGGCGCCCCCCACCCTGCCCCATCTCCCGGCCCCCAGGCGGGGAGCTCAGCAGGTGCAGAAGGACAGGAGGCCAGAACCGAGGGGGTGAGTTGCGGCGGCCGCCTGAGGCCAAGGGAATGTCCCTGCGTGCCCGGCCCAAAGCCCCAAGACCATGGCTGCGCCAGGAGAGGCCACAGCGCTCAGAGGCAAGCAGCGCGAACGCCGCCCAGCTCCCGGGGGGCGCCAACAGCGGCCATACCCAGCGCGCCCAAGGCCCCGCACCCACCCGGCGCCCGCGCCGCAGCAGGGGACTCGGATTTGTGCTGGAATTTGGTTTAAGTTTTCCAAAAGGACCGCCCTAGCCATAGCGGAGCGCCCAGGGACGTCAAAACGAGCTGCTCTGTTGCGCTCCCAGGTGGGCGCAGAGAGGAAAGGAGCTGGATTCAGCCCTAAAAGGCTCCGCCCTTCACCTTGGGACCCCCATCCTACTCGCGAGCCGCCCTCGGAACCTTTTGTAAATAAAATATCTTCGGCTCCGGATCACTGGGTTTTTATTTTACTAAATTTCCCGCCCATTTTCCAGATCTATCTTTTTTCCTGCTCTGATTTAGAGACAGGCTAAGGAGGGGAAAGGAAGGAAAAGAAGGAAATCCAGATAGCCTGTTTTAAAAGCTTTACAGAAATCTCCTTATGGTTGGGGCTTTCTGTGGTATAAGTTTGATGCTCGTTGTAAAAGAAAGCCAGTCAAGCAAACTTTATTAGGATTTTGCCAACAGCTCCAGTAAGAGGGTCTTGCTTGCATTTCGGAATTTCACCCAGTTGCAGTCAGATCTCAGGCACCCAGGATCTGTCTTAGGAGGACAAACTTTAAAAAGACTCATTTCAGAAAGGAGCCCTTCCATGTAGGGGCGTTTTCTTCTAGGGACCCTCAGTTTTTTTATC